TGACCCCAGAGTGACCCTGACCCCGCTGGGCCCCACAACCCCAATGGACACGAGGGTCAGCAAAGTGTGACCCCAAATGGACCCCAAACTGACCCCAAATGATCCCAGAGTGACCCCAAATGAATCCCAAAGGGACCCCAACCCCAATGGACACGTGGGTCGGCAACGTCTGATCCTATTGGGATCCTGAGAGTGACCCCAGAATGACCCCAAAGTGACCCCGACCCCACTGGGCACGAGGGTCAGCAACGTCTGACCCCAAATGACCCCAGAGTGACCTTGACCCCATGGGGACCCTGAGAGTGACCCCACAGTGACCCCAATGGACACGCGGGTCAGCAATATCTGACCCCAAATGACCCCAGAGTGACCCCATGGTGACCCCAAATGACCTCAAAGTGACCCCACAGTGACCCTGCCCCCATTCCCGACCCCCCAAGTTCCGGGGTCGCTCTGGGAGCCGCCGACCCCAAAGGGTTTGTGCCGAACCGCAACTGCCGAGGACTCCGGGACCTTCCGGGATTTTGAAGACTTCGAGGAATTTTTGGGATTTTGAGGAATTTTTGGGGCTTTTCAGACTCTTGGGGTCACATCACTGCTGTGGGATGATCCCAATGGGATTTGCTGCTCCTCAGAGCGCCGACCCCATGGGGTGACCCCAAAAACAGAGACGGAAACATCGCGGGATCGGGATGGGAAATTTGGGATTGGGATGGGAAATCCCGGGATTGGGATTGGAAGAGTGGGATCAGGATTGGGACAATGGGATCGGGATAAAGAACTTTGGGATTGGGATGGGAAATTTGGGATTGGGATGGGAACTCTGGCATCGGGACCTGGAATAAAGAACTTTGGGATCGGGATTGGGATCCTGGGATTGGGACCTGGAATCCTAAGATTGGGATGCAGAACTCTGGGATTGGGATCTCAAATTCCAGGATCGGGATAAAGAACTTTGGGATCGGGATGGGAATTTTGGGATCGGGACCTGGAATCCCAGGATTGGGATGGGAAACTTTGGGATCAGCTCCATTTTTCGGGATTTTTAGAACAACCCCATTTTTCGGGAAAAATCCCATTTCCCACATTTTCAGATCAGCTCCGTTTTTCGGGATTTTCAGACCAACCCCATTCCCGGGGATTTTCGGGTCACGTTTCCTTCCCTCCCCCATAAATCCCCGGATTTTTCTCCTTTGCAAACCCCAAATATAAAAACCCCAAAATCATGGAGAGTCTCTTGTGCCAAAAAACCCCAAAATTCCCGATTTTTCCCTTTTTATCACGGATAAAATTTTAATATTTTAAATCAATTTAATTATTCT